GAGGGAGGAGGGCAGTAATCTCTTGCATCTCATTGAAAAAGGAAAGCAGCAATAAACTAAATGAACATCAACCTAAATATATACACGCAAAATAAACGGAAGCAAGCCCATAATATGAAAAGTCGCATAATAAATTAATATTAATATTATCATTATTGGCACACAACACGTGTGTGCTCAGTTGAGGAGTAGCGTATAATAGTTGTGGCACAGTAGTTGCTCGAGCAGAATCGCTCGATTTATTCATCATGTACTCTTTGCTTGATTCTGACCTGAAACTATTCATTAGGCCATCCCCACTTCAAATTTCCATGTAAATACCTCAACCGAAAGCGATCACAATGCTACGGACACAGCAGCAATCGTTCAACCACAACTGCACTAGACTGAGCCGAACTCAAAAAGATAAACTAACAGAATTAGAACTCAGTTACAATGAAGCATAATTTTGATAGCTCAACTATATGACTATAGATATCGTTCTTTCATCAATCTAATACTAATTCTGATTCAATAGAAGCTCCATCTCAAAATGACGAAATTTTATCGGTGATAAAGAAAGATTCCGATAGGATTCCGTAAGGTCAGTCATGTTTTACTGGCGTATAGAAGGGCATGTTAAAGATTTCATTTTATTTTTTAAGCTTCCATCTATAAATCATCTATAAATGATCTCTGTGAAAACAGAGAATGAAAATGAATCGCGTTTCATCTTCGAACGAAAACATTTGCCTTAATGACTAACCATTCGTCAGAAGTGCATTCTTATTAAGAACACTGTTGAGATCTGAATGCAGAAACTGCCTTTGAACTGAACGCGATGAAGGTTTCTGCGTGTCACTGTTTCTCCAAGCGCCTCCATTTTGCCATTGCTGATGATCCAGTTCCTCACGGGGTAATTCATACGAATCGCTTAAGTTCCGTCTATCTGGTGGAAACTAAAAAATATCCGGTGAAGCCCGGATATGGCTACAGCCTGACTGAGAGAGCTTTAAAGTTTCTTTTCAGCATCATATTCATCTATTGGTTTTTACATTGATCAACTTCATATTGATTCCTATGATCACAATCATATTACAATTCATTGGGATTACAAATCAAAATATTGTCATATGTTATACGAGAATATTTCCGCAAGTCATAGAATTTATCACATCCACCAAATGCAGTTCATATTTCTCAATTAAGCAATAAATTATTTTTATTTCAGCTAACATTTTTATTTCAAACAACTCAGCAATATGTTGGATTAAAGTTGCATCTAAAAGGATCGAACAAATCCACACGAACGATATCATACAGTCCAAAGCATGCAGCACAACCACTGAATAATGCATTATATCGAATCAAGTCGTACTTTTGTGACATAGCCCGGATCCCAAATACAAATATAGTAAATACTCAACGCAACGGCCGGCAACGATACAAAGAAAATGTAGCCAACTACTGTTCCGAAACGAATCCATCTGAATTCATCAATGATAACGCCAACTTTAATGAGCACATAGCAACAGTCTAGGAGGACTTCTGAGGCAATATTTGAGAAATGAGAATCTGCAGAGCAGATTATGTTTATGACATTTGCCAGGTTTCGGTTTCATCTCACAACCTATTTTGAATCATTCATCAAATTTGATGTCATAAGATAGCAGCCGCTTTATCTATTTTAACTGACAGCCACTTATGAGGCATTTTATGAAGTAGCTGTTCTAACAGTAAAGATATTTGGGAGAAACAAGCAAATGCTTCATTAAGATTTCGGTTCATCTGAAGGGAATCATTCAAATTTTGAAATCGCCCATTCCACAACAGATTCTCAGTAATTTTGAAACGACTAAATAGAGCAGAAAAATCAATTAGTAAATCTATTGTATCAACATAAGGATAAACTCGATTCATTGATAATTATTACTGTTGGCTTTGCAGTTAATATCGACTGCAAATGAGGTTCATATCTAAGGTGATAAATCTTGATATGATCATTGATAAAACTTTTCAATGGTAACGATACTT